TATGGACGAATTAGAACCGGTTCATCCATGTTTTTCCTCTTCTTTTCTCTTCCCTTCCTTCTCTTCCTTCTCCAATCAAAAATTCCCAAATCAATTTTTTCAAAATTCTTTCCTAATTTTGGTACCCTAACTTTTCGATTCTTCAAAATTTTCTTTCAAGTTGTCTTAATTTCTATTTCCTAACCTAATTTCAAAAAAATCCCCAAATTTTGAAATAAAACCTAAATTGATGGTAAAATCTAAAATTAAGAAAGCTAAAGGAGGTTAACTAGTAGAATTGATTTAAGATCATATAAATTGCAGCTTCGTTCGGTAAATTCAGTCTCTCTCCCTTTTTTTAGTTTCATTTTTCTTTTTTCTTTTTTAGCTATTGTTAATTTTTTTCAAAAATTATTTCCTCTCCGACTAACTAACTCCTCGGTTTGTGTTTCTTGCTGTTATTTATACAAGTAATTGTGTTGGTTCTCCACCATGATGGTGTGAAATTTTTTTCTTGTAGGATATGGTTCTCCATCTCCTCCTTCGCCGCTACCATTAGTATTACCATCTCTAATATTATTACTATTCATAATTCTTCTTTCTCTCTATAATGACTATGAATGTTTAAATGAAGCAAAACTCTTCTTCAAGATAGCCTTAAAACCCAATCCGATTGGCCTCGCCAACAACCCATCTTTTGAGAGCAAACCTTTGTGGAGATATAGAATGAGTTCTTCGATATTTTTTAGTAACTCTTCTACCGGTGGTGTACTTTCCATTTTTTCCTTGATAAATTAGTTCATTGAAATCTTTAATTCTTTCTCCGACCTACTTGCTCTTGTTTTCTTAAATAAAGGAATTTGAGCGGTGAAAAAGTTAAGAGTGAACGATGAAGATAGAGGTTGGCTTGATGAGATTGAAATAGAATGAGGTTATGATCCGGGACGACTTAAGAGCTATTCTAGATTTGAGTTTGAAGATTGTTTAAGGGTGTTTGGGTCTATATTAATGTGGATTTGTACCGAGAATTATAGAATTATTAGAGTTACACTAATAGGGTTTCTAGAAGTCACATCTAGAAGATAAAAAAATCTAAACTTTACACCTATTATTCTTAGGAGTCACACCTAAGGGAGATTGAGTCATAAGATTAAAAGCAAATTGCTGAAAATTGTTCGATATTATTACATTCTGAATATTGAAAGATTACATATTGTATTTATAAAGTTGTAAAAGTCCAAATCCAATTAAGATAAGGATTCCTAGACCTCCAATATAACTATTCCTATTTAGGAATAGAAAACCTAATAACTTCGGGACTAAGAAAATAAAATACTAAACAGAAATAAAGCCTAGACCAAGACAGATTTCCAAGCAAACCTTAAAAAATACTAAAATACCTTTACATTCTAAAATTTAAAGAAAACACATAAATCTTAGTCTTTCGTCATCCGCATCAAGTTATACATTAGGATTGAACAGTTATGATTGCTAGGGTTTTTAGATGAATGGTGGAGATTAAAAACAAAAAAGACAAAAGAAACAGAAATAAAATGCTCTTGAAAATGAAATGTTCAAAGAGGACAAACAAAACTACAGCATAAGGATCCAAAGATGGGTAAAAAGATAATAACCTGGAAGGACTTAATGGCATAAAAGTAAAATATAATAAAAGAAAAGGGCAAGCAATAAAGAGAATTAGGAAAGAGAGAGCAGCAACTAGAAAAAAAAGGTGTGAACAGTAAATCCACACTAAACCGTATCCGTATGAACAGTAGTATGTACAATAATTTTATGTTTGTTTTTTTTAAAAAAAATTTTTTAACGACTTAATAGTAATAATTCAATATTTATAAAACTATTCTTAACATAAAAAATAAAAATAAAAAAGTTACAAAACCAAACATGTCAATTTAATGTTGTTACACCATACACAAGTTAATCAATTCATCCTCACACAACATTAGAAAATTAATTTTTATCTTAAAACAAAAACCTAGTCCCTAAACTTCTTGATAAATTTTGTTTGATTAAATTAATTGAAAGGATGCGATTATTTTTTAATTATTACGGTTGATATTATTGCGATTTTATTAAGTTTTTAATTTTTATAATACCATATATTTATCACGAGAGTCTTGACCAAGTTTACAATTTGACACATAGGGACTTAATTAAACAAAAAAATTATTTAGGTACTAAATTGCTTTTATTGTAAAATATGATGACAAAGCCCTTTAAATTAAGGATTTATTTGTAAACAAATACATAAAGGGACTAAAGCAGAAAATGTTAAAAAAATTAAGGAACAAAATGTCCATCTATGAAAATATTTATGCCATCACGTGTCAAAATTTTAAAAGCATTACTAAAATCAATCCAAGAAAAGTTGTGATGATGACAAAATATAACGTATATAGATGATATTAAGATTAAAAAAAAAAAAGTAGAAGGACCTAAAAAAAAAAGAGTACAAAAATATAGAAAAAATATTAAACCATGGTTAACTATGGGCTTATAATTTAGACTTTTAGTTTAGCTAGCAATGGGTTCACATAGTTAATAAAAAAATAATCATAGAAATGAGATTTCAAGCATCATGAGAAGGGAGAAGAAGGGGAAGAGATTCCCCAACGTAATTTGAAAAATTTCACTCTTCTATCTCCCATCTACAAGACTATGAAATTTATTATTATGTCATGGATCCTTGTGGCTTTCTATGCAAAATATACTCTCAAGTTAATCTTTTACTATACAAGGTAAATAAAAATAATTTTTATAAATTTTTATAAATTTATAGAAATCATCCAAAAGTTTGAAGATTTGATAAATATATCTTTACAAAAAAAACAAAAACAAAACAAAACAAAAGCTAATTACTTTATTAAACTGTTCACTTGATGCGATTTTTATATTGGGCCATTGGCCGAAGCGCGAATAGGCCCAATCAACTTAATATCCAATGTTGGACTTGAACTATATACTATAATGAATACTTTATTATTTTAAAAAGTATACAACGCTTATCTTTCACATAAATACCGTAGTGAATACTTTTTTTAGCTCAAAGGCCCAAAGAATAAAACTAATTATAACATATCCAATAACAACCTGATCTACCATAATCATCCCAGAGCAGCTTCAAAGGGCCCATATGAAGAAGTTTTTTTTTTCGTCCGAATCGGAGTAGTTGTATGTGCACTCCAGCTTAGGTCTTGTGTTTGGTGGCTTCACACTTGCTTTTGCTTTGGTTCACCCATATCAGGAGTAAATTATAAATTAGCCCCTATGTTTTTCAAAAGAATTTAAATAGTACTTCTGATTTCAATAACTAATTAATTATTTTTTTAAAATCTATTCGTAACTTAATTTTTATTTATTTATTTTCAATTTATTTTTTCTTTTTTTAATAAATAAAAAAATAAGTAAGAAATGTAAAAGATATTTATTGAGCAAAGAAGACATTGCTTAGAATAAAATAATATTAAATTAACCATAATCAATTTTAGTTAAAAAAAACTATTTAATTAATTTTGCAAAACTAGAAATTAAGATTAATTTGTATTTTACTCCACAAATCAGATATTGAAAGATTCCGTCCAAAATTTATGGCTTATGAATTGAAGTAAATTATAAGTTTGAACTTATATTCTAATAAAATTAATGGCAAACCTAAAATATATTTCAAACTATTAGATTAGTATTAATTTTACCCTCAAATTATTTTGATTTCTCAATTAAAAGCTTTTGTTATAACTATTAATGTAAAATGTTAACTTTATTATAATTTATAATTTGGATGGAAATATGGATTGATAGACTTTTCAAATGAGTAAAGTGATGTCGTTTTTTGAAGAAATATATAATTTAGATGGAAATATGGATGAATAGACTTTACAAATAAATGGAAGTCCTTGATTAAGAATTTTAAAAAATTTAAAGGTAAAATAGATACATAAAATTGCTTGGGAATATAATTAAAATTATCTATATAATTGGGATATTTTTAAAATTTACCCTTAAATCAAAGGCGTTGGAGAAATTAAGTTAATTAGTTCCTTTAATTAGTCTTCTAGAATATTGTTCATCTAGTAAGTTGTTACAAAAATAAAATAACACGGATCTTATTTCATTTTAGATTTCACGCTAATGAGTCTTAAATTAGAAAAATCTACCAAAGCGCTTGTAAGTTGTAACCACATATAATACAAGGGCATTCTGATCAGTCAAATCGGGTAAATTAACACTTGTCAAATACAAGAGAGAAAAATACTTTAGATACTTGTAAAGAAATTAAAATCTGTTCTCTTAAAATCTAAATTTGATTTTGTTCAACATCGACTTAAATTTTTAGCAGAGCACTCGCCTCATGAATATAAATTTACGCATTTTTTTTTAAGAATTTCAAAATAATTTGGCATTATAAAAAAAAATTAACGAAAAGAAATTATCACTGTTATCTTCTCTTCTTTTTTTTTAATCTTTAAAACTAAAAATACTTGCCAACTTCATCACGAAAATATGTACTACCAAATTAAATCCAATTCTTACAAACTCCGTAAATTATTTGAATTATATTAAATATATTTTAATTTTTTAAAACTTTTTTATAATCCTAGATTCAAAATCTAATTAAAACTAAGATTTTATTATTAGTAGCAGTTCAATCATATTTTTTCATTAAAATCTTTTTTATTGTGTGAAAATAAAAATCATATAACTTAAATAAGTTAATTAATAAGCAGAAGCAATAGGTATATTTAAATAAAATAATCCACGACTATCTTAATCAATGTATGAATTGCACACTCTTGATTGCAGAAAAATTTCTCTCAAACATCTTGTTCAAGAGTTTATTATGCTCAAGAGAATATTCTCGTCTTAACAAAAATCATGATGTCCATCAAAGAAGACACTACAAACGCAGAAGAAAACTGGTCCCTTACTACTCCTCAATTTGTTACGCAAAGGACTTGAATACTCGATGGACCTTGCATTCACTACATTTCTCTTTTCCACAATCAGTCACTATCTTCCTCCTCAGAATCATCATCAATATAAATTATTGGAACAGGAGATGGGGGCGTTGTACTTTGAGCAGTACCATTAACAGTTATTGGAATGGAATGATCATTTGCAGTTTCTTTGCCATCACTCTCTCCTCTTTCGCTTCTTCTTTTAGCTTGCCACGGTCCGAACCCAGAATAATAGTAAAACTGATTTGCATTTGAACTGGGATAACGCCCTTTATTTATAGACCTTGTCTGGCCTTTGAGTGCCCTAGTTACAGGTTTCTTGATAGAGTGGTCTGTAACACCTAGGCAGCCTGAACCACTACTTTTCTTATGAGGTTTTATTATGTTTAAGTGATGGTCACATATTGAGCGTGCTTCATTGCTCTCATGTATGCAATCCAAACCCTTGCCTTTAGTCTTGTCGAAATGGAGTACTGATATTTCCCCTTTCTTGATTTTGAGCTCGTTCTCTATTTTCTTCTCTTCATTATTGTTGAACCCTTTCTTATTTGGACTTCTTTCCCTGTTATAAATAATCATCAGTATCAATTTATACGATATTAACATCAATTAAAAAAAAAAACAAATTTCCAACAATATTACATGACCTCATATGAATCTTTTTTCTAAAAAAAAATTGCTTAAAAACCATAATATTTACTCGAAAAAAGTAACCGTGCTATATAAAATCTAATTAAAAAAATACCATAAAAAATTAGTTCACGTAAATTAAATTACCTTTCAACGACGCCAATAGATTTGCTGAAGCTTTCCTTCCCACCAAAACAATTATCTCCTTCTTCAAACTAAAAAAAAAATTAAGTAGCGAACCACAAGACGATAAAAATAAATGAGAAAGGTTAATTAACCTAATCTGCCATTTAGAGGACAAAACTAATAAATAAATAATTAGGTTTAACATTGAACAAGAATGCGACAACCTTCAAAACCTTAGAAAGATATATAAAGAGAAAAATGCAGGTATAGAAATGATTTATTAACGGCTAGAATAGCGAAAACTCTTAGATAGATCTAAAAATGTGAAAACAGAGGGGGAACGAACTAAAATTAACCTGATGAAAAGAAGGTGAAGAAATCTCTTTAGAGAATGAAATCACGTCCCATGGTGACTGGTTTAGTTGGCAAATAGTTTTTGGCACAGCTTGATGGGGTCCCAAAGTACTTTGCAGAAACATGACCGGAGAGAACTTCCCATTTTTACGAATCCTCATGCCAAATTAGAAAGCAAGAGAGAAGAAAGGTTTTTTCTCTTTACTATTTTGCAGATTTCTTCTTCTTAAGACCACTGTTGTATCTCCACCTTGTTTGGTTTGGTATTTTTTTGAACGGTTTTACTCTCAATTTACACATCATATTTTGTCCACATCCATACAATAAGATCACACGTGCTCGTCTCTTTACTAAGATCTTTTTGTCACACACTTAAGATTCCATAAAAACAGACAGTTCAAAATTACTTCCTTATATAAGAATGTAAAGTAAATGCATATCTTAGAAGTTATCGGGGTAAGAGAAGGGACGGTCGCGTTTATATAGTGTCAGCGTCACAATACTAAGGACCTAATTTTCACAAGAAGAAGAGTTCTGGAGCTATTGTGTCACCATTCAAATATGTGGGGCTAAACAGTATGATTCTCATATGCTGAAAGCATGGACCGCATCCGTAACTTTTTGCACGAAGAAAAACACCAACACGTCTCGATCACAAAATCATTGGCAGAGGCAAGGGCTTCTTGAATATTGTAAGTGATGTTTTGAGTATGAAAAAAACCTAATTGTTTTTTTTAAGAAGTTGATCAAATATATTTATATACCTTCTATGAATTTCAAATTCGAAAATTTTAATTTCTTGTGGTTCAAACATGCCACACAAAATTTTTTTAGACAAAAATACACATAAAACACCAGGTCCGTCTCAAGAATATTTGTGACCTTGGGCAATAGTTATTTTGATGGCCCTTGAATAATATAAACACATATTAAAAAAATTATTTTTCTTGTCTTTTGAAAAGCAAAATCACTAATTAAATTTTTGTATTCGAGTTTAGAAACTAAATTTTTTTCAATTGATAATATAGTCAAATTACTTAATCTTTCTTGTGACATGGTTAAACTCAAATAATATTTTACTAATTTTAATTTTGAAAAATTTCTTTCAATTGTCCCTAAAGTAACAAGAATAGTTAACAATATTCTATAAGCTATCCATGCATTTGGAAAAGTTTTTTATAAAATCTAGTACCTCAAGTGGTGTTTTAATTTTCATATATGTCATATTTTAGAAAGTTTTCAAGCTTTAAATAATTTTTCCTCAAATTATCATCATCAAGCAATTTTAACTTTTCTACATTATAAAGAAAATCAAAATTATCTTCATATGTTTTAAATTGTTTAAATCGCTTTGAAGCAAGGCAATGACCTAATCAACTAAATATGTGAAATAATTAATTCTAAGAGATTCTTTAGCGTACAATTTCATATCTTCATTTTCTTTCTCATCAAATTGTTTTTTTTTTCTTTTTATTATATGTTTTTCATAAAATTTTGATTCTATATTCATTTTCTCTACAATCTCTTTAGCCGAAATCGGAGAAGATGTAAACCCATTTTCTCTAGAGTTTTCAACAAAAAAAACAAGACCTTTTAAGTGATCTTTTGCAACAACAATGTCCATATTTTTAGATTGTAAATATTTACTAACCATATTAACAAGTAAACAATATACCATACCAAATAATCATGCCTAATAGAAATTCAAAATTTTCAATATCATATGTTGTTGAAGAAATAATTCATTTTTTGTTTTATGATCTTCACTAGTTTCTACTAATTGATATAAAACATCTCTTATTTGTAGAGCTTGAAATTTTATTGTTTTAACACTTTCAACATGACTTCCCCAACGTGTCCGTAATAATGACTTAAGTGTCAAATTAGAAATATGACCTTGCAAGATTTTCTATCATTTTGTAGAAGAAGCAAATAATAAGTATATACATTATGTCACTCCCAAAAATGTAATAGCAATAGCATATGAATTAGCCATATCACAAAGAACTAAATTAAGATTATGACAACTATATGTTGTATAAAATACTCTAGAATTTATAGCAAATAATCTTATATCCTTGTCCTCTCACATTATTTACATCAAGTTCAAAATTTTTTAGTGTACTTATGAGTACATTAAAAAGACATTGACCGAAGTATCATCCACTTTTATATAATCTATAAAGTACTATTCTATTTATATTGGACTTATTAAAATATCTACACATCTTAATATAAGGCACATTTGTTCTTGATGACTTGTATCTAGAGTACAATCAAGTATAATTAAAAAATATTTTGATTTTTTTCTTTAACAATGATATTTCTTATTTCTAATACTAAAATATTTATCAACTCATTTTGTATATTATGACCAAGATAATGGTTATGGATTTCTCCATTTTGAATACATCAAGGTGTTCTTGCATTATTGAACCAAACTCAGAAATCATTTCAATGAAACTCACAAAAACTTCAATTATTTTCTTGATAAATCTTCCCATTTGCACCATAAAAGGCCAAATTATTTTTTGAAAGATTTTTTTCCAACAACAATAATTCTTAATAGTACATTCTTCCAATGCTCTTTCTTTCTATTTATTTTCTCCTATAGACGTTTATCAATTGTCTTATTTTTAAGCAATCTCATCTCAACATAAACCCAAATGTTCATATATATATATATATATAACATGTTCATTACTTTTTTCATGACTTTTAAGTTTGGCACTTATATTTTTTCAATCTCCACATCCTTCATTTGCTAATTGATTTGCTTTTAAACTAAATAATTTACAATAAAAGCAAAATACTTTATCTAATTCTTTTAAATATACTAGTCATTTTCTATCATGTTTTTCTCCATTTGATAATTTCCCAATGTAATGAATTGTAAAAAGTGTCTAGAGTTTTTATCTCTTGAAAAATCTAAAACTTGTCTAATTGGATCTTTTTCAACTATTAAACCACTTAATCTTGTGGCTAAATTATTCCACTATGCCGGATCATAAATATTTTTAATAGTTGTTTCATCTTTATCATTAATATTTTCATTCTTGTCGATTGGAATATCTTCTTCTAGATTTTCATGATATTCTTCACAAGTATTTGATGAATTTGAATAGTTAGCTTTAAAAATTTCTTCATAATTTTCTATTGATTCTTCATTTAAGTCTTCATTTGGTTTTTCTAGCATTTGGTGTTTCCATAAAAAATCTATTAAATGCACCTTTTTGGAATTGAAATAGTTCTTTCATCTTCTTTTTTCCTTACATTTTTAGTAGACATTTCTATTTAAAGAACAAATAATTTACAGATCCTTAATATTATTTTGCTAGAATAGTAATATAATATAATTATAAAAAGTTTAAGGAACCATAGCACTTGATTTATGCTCTTTTGATTTTACTTTGATATTCTAAAATCTCATATTAATTATTGTCCCGCCATCTACATAAAAAAATAAATATCACTATAATTATAAACAAAAGCATGATACAAACAACCCTATAAATAATATACTCGACCCACCTAAACCTCACACCAGTATTTTCAATTAAAAATCTTATCTTGATTAAGATCGACGCAATCCGACCCCCATAACAAAGAAACAATATTTTCAAGTAAAAATATTATCTTGATTAAGTAAAAAATAAATATTTGATATCCGACAAAAGTACATACAAACATTAGGTAAAGCACAAAAAAAAGATTAAAGCGATATCGAAGGAAATTGAGCTTACAAATAGTGTGACGATTGAGGAATGGGTCTTTGTAAGAGGAAGTAATTAATTTTCACTTAAAACTACTAGAATTAGAGAATAAGAATATGAAAATATGAAATTTGGCTTTGTTAGAGTATTAGAGAGTAAGGATATGATTATGAAATGTAGCTTTGTTACTATAAAATCTAGTGTGGCAATTCAAAATCCTAGTACTTAATAAGCTTTACTAATTTTTTTTAGCCCCTCTTTTTCTTTTTCTTTTTCTTTTTTGTTGTGTGTGGGGGTGTGGGGTGCGTGGGTGTGGCGCCTATCCTAGTACTTAGTAAGCTTTACTAATGTTTTTTGAGCCCCTCTTTTTCTGGGGACCTCGGCATAGGCCTTAACGGCTTATGCCTTGAGACGGCCCTGCAAAACACACGCATATATTTAATGCTCATGTAAAATTGTGTCATTTTTATAAAATTGGTTTTTCCTTAATCTATGGAACCTTTGATTATGATAATTTTATATCATTTTTTTTGTTCAAATTGTATCATTGTAATCATGATAAAATGCTACTCAAATATAGGATTATTTAATAATGTGATTCATTATAATTAGCTATGGTGGAATTCAAACAAAATAAAGATTTAAATACTTAATTTTATAGAATAATTAATCGGTACATTCTATGTTAGCATTCTTTTACCATCGAATTGTTGTACATATGAGAATTTTTTACACAAATTAAAGGAGCTTAAATTAAAAATTAACGCAATTCAATATATTCTTAGAAAATCAGATTCTCAACTGATGTTTTATTTTTAATTTATTTTGA